GACTTTTATTTAAAGGATAAAGTCATTAGCTATAACTTCAGTTGTTTGCAGTTAAAAAAATAATATTTTAAGACATTTACACAGTTACTTACCAATAAACAGTACAATGCCTAGACATTTGTATCCCTCATAACTCTTACTGACCAATTCATAGATGGGAAACATTACTGCAAAGTTAACTGAACTTCCCTAGTAGAAATGCAAGAAAATAGATTTTATTTATTTATTATGATTTAGTATTTTTAGAGACAAAAAATTCTTGCTTTCCTGAACAAAATTTTATAATATTCACCTCTGTTCAAACTTACAATAATAAATGTGAGGGAGATATTAAGTTTATAACATTAATTATCAGTTTTCATTAAACAGAGATCTTATGAAAAAAAATACCATAGAGCACATGGCTTTTTTTTTAGTGCTTTTTATAACTAGTATATTTAAGGAATAAATAAAAGAAATATACAATTTCCCACATTAAAACATTACTATGGAATATAAATAGATATACCAGTCGAAAAACACTAAAAATGGAGTAAGTATAAAAATATTGTCTTATATTTGATATGCATTAATAACTCCTGATGATCATGCCTAACAAAAAATTTCCATTTAAAATACATAAAGCAAATATACTGAAGAAAACTGTTATCATAGAAAAGATGTTTTTTAATGTACAAATATGTTTGCAATTAATAAGCAAATTTACATGCTAAAAATTATCAAATTTCTCTTACTTTCTTGTATTAATTTACATAACTAGTTTTTCTGCTATGACAAAAATGAGTGTAAAAAATCATAACTGTAAAAGTGAAAATTAAAATAAAAAAGCTTACAACACGAGCAAAACTCAGTTGGAGACCAAACACCATACTCAGTTCTTTCCCTTTAAACCAGCTGACAGCATAAGTGTTCTGGGCTACTGCTAGTGATTCTCCTCCTATACTGTAACATTGTAAAATAAAATGGATAACTTTTCAAAAACTAAGGATAACTTGAAACACAATGGAAAAAAATCAACAATAAATTACATAGTTTGGCCTTCCCTTAAGTTTTCAGAATCAAACTTCCCTCAATACTATGCCCTACCCTATTGAAAACATGTTTTGAAAAATACAGTTTAGTTTTACTCCTTTAGCAAGTAAATATTAAAAACAATTTTTAGAAATTTTCTAAGTTAAAAAGTTATATTAAAATTATAAATCTGTATACACTGAAACACAATGTAATAACTTGGACTAATTGCTGCATATACTCTTTGATAAAAATGCTTGCTAATTAATAAATTTCAATACCTTAAAACAAGAGCATAAAAGAAGGCATTAAAGAAAAACAACCTATAAACACTATTAAACTGTGAAGAACTCCTAATGATATTTATCTTCAACCAATGGTCGGGAGTGCATAAGACATAAATCATTCATATCATAGAATACTGTCCAGAATTAACTGTGGGGATGAAGTTATAAGTAGGTCACTAGGGCTAAATGCTAAACTTAGGTTGGTGTGTAAGGATGAGAAGACTGGCTGGTTGGACTTGTGGGATCAATTTAATGGAAGAAGGGAGCTTTTTAGAATTGATGGCTTACATTTAAAGAATAAGGCATACTTGCAAGGGCTATTAACTCATCTGTAAGGGAAAATTTAAATTGGGACAAGATAGTGGTGAGGGCCAGGATAAACTAAGTGGAAAAAAAGATGTAGATAAATGTTTAGCATAGGAGATGAGTGTAGAAGTAGTTATAAGGATTGGCTTAATTGTTACTATTGTAATACTAGAAGTATAAGAAATAAAACAGATGACTTTTAGGAATGGATGGTTTTTGATATAATGGGAATAAATGAAACATGGTTAAATGAAGATGATTTTGATGACAGAAATTTCTTTGAAATACAGGGTTACAGACTATTTAATAGGGATAGAGTATTAAAGAAAGAAGAAGTGGCTCTGTACACTGTGTAAAATGTGAGTTACATTCTGTTGAAATTGAGGTTATCAAAGATAATAGGAAGGAGATTGAATCCATTTGGGTTTCTATTAAGATATAAAGGGAAAAGGTTTTTAGTGGGAATTTGTTACAGACCACCAAATGATACTGATGAAATAAGTGAAAAACTTTACAGTAAGATTAAGATTTCAGCTATTAATGAGATCATAATTATGAGTGATTTTAATTGTAGGCATATTGATTAGGAAATGTTAGAGTCAAGCCATGGGGGAGAAAGGTTTTTTGGAAACTATTGAAGATGGTTTTCTTCACCAATTGTTCAGTTTACCTACTAGAAACAATGCTATTTTAAATTTATTGTTAACTACTAATATAGAAATTGTTGAGAGGGTGAAAATTGAGGAACCTCAGGGTGCAAGTGATCATTGCTGTATTAGATTCAATGTTTTGCTGCATATGGAGATAAGAAATAATAATACTTTGGTTACAAATTTCAAAAAAGCAAATTTTGAAGGGATGTGACAAGAATTATCTGTTGTGAATTGGGCAGCTGAGTTATTTGGGGATACTGATCAGATGTGGAAAATTTCTAAATATTCAAGGTAAACATTTTCTTATAGAAAGAAAAGGGTAGCTGCAAATAATTAAAAAACACAAAAACAGGTTCACTCACAAAGAGTATAGGAGATAAAATTTAAGAAAACATCAAAAATTTAAGAAATTTAAATTGACTTGTATGATGGGAGATTTAAAGGATGACAAAAGATTAAGAAAGTTAGTGAAACAGGAAATTAAAACATCCAAAAAGATGTATAAGAAAAGGTTCGCTGAAAAATTAACAGTAAGGACTTCTTCAAATACATTAAGAGTAAACAAAATGTTAGGAAGGTGGTAGAACCCTTGAGGGATGATATAGGAAGGCTCGTCTCTGATGATTATGATATGGCTGGGTTATTAAATTCTGTTTTTTCTTCAGTTTTTACTAACAAAGATTTAAGAAGTATTCCACATCTTGAACAGTTCATAGATGGAAACACGATTGAACAAGATGACTGCATTAATTTTGAGCTTGTTAAGAAAAAATTGGGAAGTTTAAAGAACGATAAAGGTCCTGGGCCAGATAATATTTCCCCAAAGGTTTTGAAGGAAGTTAAGGATTGGATTTGTGAGCCACTTGCTACTATTTTTTTTTTGAAAGTCCTTGAATAGTGGGCATGTACCAAAGGTTTGGAAGTTAGCTAATGTCACTCCTCTTTTCAAGGGAGGTGATAAAAATTGTCCCTGTAATTATAGGCCCATTAGTCTTACATCAGTTGTGGGGAAAGTTTTGGAAAGTCTGATAAAAAATTCTTTGCAAAGCCATTGAACAAAGATTAGAATCTTATTGGATAATCAACATGGTTTCACTAAAGGAAAATCTTGCCTTGCAAATCTTTTGACATTCTTTGAAAAGGTTAATGCTTATGTAGATGAGGGTAAGGGTGTAGATATGGTGTATCTGGATTTTCAGAAAGCATTTGACAAGGTGCCACGTAAAAGGCTTATAAAAAAAATATACCTACAGTTGTGTGGGATAAGTTAGCAAATTGGATATAAAAGTTATGGAAGAAAGCAGAGGGTTGTTACAAATGAAGTTCAGTCAAACTGGATTAATCTTACAAGTGGGGTACCTCAGGGCTGTCTTAGGACCTTTGCTCTTTTTGATGTACATCAGTGACACAGAGGAAGGTATGGTAAATAAGTTACTTAAATTTTTAGATGATTTTAAAGTCTTGGGTGTTGCTAGCTGTGAAGAGGAGGCTGTTGATTTACAAAATATTTAGTTTATTTAGTGAGCTGGGGAATAAATGGCAAATGGGTTTTAATTATAATAAATGCAAGATAAAGCATGTGTTGCTATCATAATTTGATTACAAGTATATTTTGGATGGGAATAATCTTAACAGTGTCATGAAAGAAAAGGATCTTGGTGTAATGGTTAATCAGTCTCTTAAATTGTCCAAGCAGTGTGCTATTGCTAGTGGTAGGGCAAATAGGATTTTAGGTTGTATCTACAGAATCATTGAATGCAAGTCTAAAGAGGTTATAATTTCATTGTACAGGTCATTGGATTAGGCCACATTTGGAGTATTGTATTCAGTCTTGGGCTCCTTACCTTAGGAAGGCCACTGAATTGTTGGAAAGAGTTCAGAGGAGAGTTACTAGAATGGTGCCTGGGATGGAGAGGTTGTCATAGGAGGAGAGGTTAAAATCTCTCAAATTGTTTTCTCTTGAAAAAAGAAAAGTTAGAGGGTGTGTGTGTTTTCTTATAGCAAAGCCACATTGGGCTATCTGCTGTGTCCACCGAGGGGAATTGAACCCCTGATTTTAGCATTGTAAATCCGAAGACTTATCGCTGTCCCACTGGGGGACAGAGATAGAGGGGATTTGATTGAGGTGTTTAAGATTGTAAAGTGAATTGATAGTGTTGATACATCATCTTTTTCCATACTTAATCATGAAAATAGTAGGACTAGAGGACATAATTATAAATTTTGGCAAGGTAGGAGTTATCTTCAGCTAAAAAGTTTTATTTTTATAACAGGGTGGTTGGCCTTTGGATGTTGTGAAGGCAGTAAACTTAAGTGAGTTTAAGAGAAAGCTTGATAACTATATGAATGATAAGGGCTGGCTTTAAGATTTTAATTTTTCTAATTTATTTATTAATAGTTTTAGTTTAGTTTAGAGGATGGGACAGTCAAGACTTACTTGGGGTATGGAAATCTAAAAAAGAAAACATACCTCATTTATGGGAGAAAGAGTAGTATTTATGTTTGGTTTTTTGAAATAATGTTTAAATATATGATGATATTTAGAGATGGTAAAAAACATTTAATGGACTTCTTGTATCTACTTACAAAAAAACTAAATTTATAGTCCCTCGATGACTTACAATGCTAAAACCTGGGGTTTGATTCCCTGTGGTGGACATAGCAGATAACTTAATGTGGCTTTGCACTAAAACAAACAATTAAATTTATAAAGCCTCTTTTAGAATACTGTGTCAACCTATTATGTAAAACATCATTTCTTCACCTATTCAATATTAGGATCAAGCTCACTGTTTCTCTAAAACTGTCATGGAACACTAAAATGCAAGTATGATGAAAAATGTTAGCATTTCCCTACACTGAAAATGTATTTTCGATAGATACATACCTCCACTCATAAAATAGCTTTTCTTGACTAGCATGGCTCTCTATTGGCACAAATTTTCAATGCACGCCACTAGCCTTCTACCTTGCTTCTGCATATTTACATGTAAATGATCATGTAGCAGCTCTCCACCAATAGAAGTGTGACACCACTCTTATTGTAACCAGCACCCTCTTCATACCTGCACTCGTTATTCACTTCGAGATTGGTCAGAAGACCTACACCATATATCATAGGAAGTGGGGAGACTGGGTGGGAAATGTGAGATGAGGTAAGTATTAATTGAAAATACATTTTCAGTTTAAAAAAATACTAACTACCAATATTATATCTTACCTCTTCTCACAAAATAGCTAGAATCCCACATTTAACTGGTGGAGGGTCGATACAAAAAAATATTCCCCTTTAGGAAGTGCCCAAAAAGAGGCCAAGAGGTGTGGAACCAAAAGAGAAAATATCACACCTCAGTGGAAGACTTCACCACATCTGATCCAGGTATACTCTTTACTCTTTTATGACAGTGTCACTAACATAACAGGTGGAAAAACATGAAGGAATCCCAGAATATGAATGAGGCTCCAGGGTGTTGAGTAGCTAAGGTGCAACAGACCGTAGTGGTAGTTTGACCTTATCCAACACCAGGCAGTATCAGATCCATGGTAGGTAGAGGATCACTATCTGTTCACCTTGAAAGAGGAATTGGTAGGGAAAATGAGCTTCCATACCAAAATCCATCACCACTCGCACACATTTCCAACACAACCAACACCAAATCTGTCAGGAATCGACATCCAGCAGATGGTAGGAAGGAGGAAAGCCCTGGTGTGATAACATCTCAAGTCCAAAGCCTGACAGCAATGGGTATAGTACTTCCATTCCACAGTGTTAGGAGGATATCTGGCCATATACAAGTTGGGAAAACATGTGCTGTGTCCAGCTTCAACAAACACCAGATCTTCCAGGAACCGACATCCAGAAGACAGTAGGAAGAGGGACTGCAAACCTAGGGGTGCATCTCCAGTCCAAATCCTGGTGGCAGTGGACATTTGTCATCCAGTTCACCATAGGAGGAGGAAAATTAGAATTTACATATGAATATTATGTCAATTTTTGTTTGTTGTCTATGTGAAATCCCACAGACTAGCAAGATAACTGTAGTTGGTCTGTAAACCAATGGTTGAGAAAAACTGATACAAAAGATACTGACAAGATAAAAACAGTGTAAAAAGGGACAAGACTGTATTATTTGGTTCAATATGTTTAAGCTGTGTACAGAAGTTTTAAGACTTCTTTCTGATGGAGCAGAGAAGAAACTAAGTCAATTTGATAAGGGTGGGACTTAAATGAAGGTATAGGTAATCTAGATATGGAAGGCATGTTTGTGGGGTAACATGATAAGTTTGAAAATAAAGACTTAAATATTAGGGACAAGAAATATAAGCTGTGGAAGTTCAGACTTAGAGTAATAAACATATGTAAGTGTTTATGTTATGATGCTGTTAATGGTTGTTAATATACTCATTGAAACAGTTTTTAAGATATAGATATTTATGCAAAAAGTACATCTTACTTTGAATGATGGTCTTAAAGGTTGTTCAGTTAATGAATTGCTGAATGGATTTATATCACACTGTTTGTTAACAAAAAAGTACAATTTGTTCTAAATTTAAATCTGTGTCAAAGATTATGTGTATTATACAATATATTTGTATATTAACCAAGAAGTAGCTTTACCCAAATATAAATCTTCCTGCTTCCATTACCCAGAACTTATCCACAAGACCACCAAGAGCAAATACTACCTAAACAGAAAATTGCAGTAATACTGACTGTAAATATTACAAATAGCAAATACAAAACACTTAAATAGAAACCTGTGATTAATCATACTTATGAAGTATTCTCATTATCTAACAATCTATTTATACTAGAGTAATGACTTAAAAATAACATTTTTCAGTAAATACATTTCTTATATTATAAAAAAAGGTTAATTTCTGCTATATTATGCTGCAATATTCTGCACTAGGGGAAGGTCTGGAGCTTGTACTCACATGAAAATAAAAATAACACAAAAAATGCACTTGTAAGTTTTAAGAAAATAATAAAATAATATTTAATAACACATAAACATAAAATAATGTGAAATCTATGGCTTTGATATTTTTCATTTGTTTATCAGTTGTCTTTTGACTGTCAAGTATGAAGTATTGTATTTAAGAGGAAGAAAACAAGACAGAGTGACAGATAATTTTCTACTTGTAGCAAAAGTAACATATAAAAACTAATAAATGAAATGCTACACTGGTGATAATCAACAAATAAATTTCATTTTCAAGAGGTAACAAAGGGTTATTTGGCCCATCTGGCCTATCCCATTTTCTACTACCACCCTACTCAAAACTACATAAAGAAACCCCTTTTCTGATATCCACATTTGATCTCTAAATACTCATCCAATCTCCTCTTAAGCTCTTACTACATAAGAAGGCAAACTAATCAACTTATGATATGTCATATGCAGTATCTACATTTGAGACTGATTTTTAGAAAAGATATTAAAAACATGATTATCAAATATAAGCCTACATCATTAGGTTTTGAGAGTTTATGTTTGATCATTGGCCATATAATTTGATTAAATGACCTGGGGATTCAAATCATTGGTTTTGAATGTGCCATAAAGTGATCAAGATAATCCTCCTTATATATATTGTGAATGTTTTAGGTTTAACAAAACAAAAATGTTGATAAAAGTAATTAGTTTTTCAGTTTGTCTAAGTGGCAATTTTTATAAATTAAATATAAGCCATTCTCATAATGTTCTATGTGCCTGCATCTAATGAAAAAAAACACATAAAGAATAAGATATCATAGTGGCTAGATACCCAGCAGTCGAGAACAATATTTCAAATATAAAATATCACAAAGTCCAAAAATTTAATATTTATGAGCTATGATCACCTCTCATTTGCCTTGGAGAATGAGTAATAGTAAATTATGAGACTGATTTGTCTTAAAAGCTTGATGAAATGATCTAAACAAAACTTTTGCACTGGAAAAATAAATATTGATCCTCATTCTTGTTTAGTATCAACTGGTGTATGTATTTGCTACAAACCGCCAGGAACGATCCTTGAAATATCATCAGCTCATAATCTCATGATCATGAATACTAATAAGCTTGCAGTCTGATAACTGATATTACTTACGTATGTATAATTTGCAATGATATAATTTTTTAAAACTATTATCATTAATTATCATCGTTATAATTCTTATCATTGTTATAGCTCATCAATATCCAAATTTTGGAACTGCCAGTTATTTAATATTTGAAAAATTGTTTCTGGCTGTTGGATATCTAGTCACTGTAATAAGATATTGTAACTTGATGACTATTAAAGAAAAATATTCCTCAAGTCTACTTTTTCTTTCTACCAATTACTTAGTTCATTTGAGTACTAGATAAAGCAAAAAGACTCAGTGCACTTTTTTGTACATATAACTTGAAAGGGGTTCCTTTGTACCTATTGGGCTCACCCTAGAAATGTGCATGACTGTTGAGAATGCTTAGATATGTACAGATCTCATAAAATGTCCTGTGAATGTTATATATAAATATTGAGCCATGAATATCACTGAAGGTAGTTTTTTTACTGACTTTGTAATTCCACCAAAATTAACTGTAAACAACAAGAATTAAGCATTTTATTACACAAAGATTAGAAGATAGTGACTTCATCCAAGAATACATGCTTATAAAATAACTAATTTAACACTGACTAATTATACTCATTTTCACATATCCAACCAGGGATAAATATTCTGGAAAAATTATGGGTCATGAAAAAAGAGAAAAGGGCAAAAACTGAAAAAGAAAATGTAGAAAGACAAAAAGAAAGGTGAATATAAAAATGGATAAAAACTTGTTTCTTAGGTTTTATTGCAGAATATACACAATTATGGCTTTGTTGCCAGCCAGTTTGACATGGTGAAAGAATAGAAAATAACTTGCTTATGGGTAGAGGAAAAAACGTATTTTTTTGAATAATATTTACTCCTATAATTAAGCTAGTCTCCTATCAAGTCATTACTGACTGGTATTTGAAATGGGATATAATGGCCCTAAAGTGCTCATACACAAATGTTTCATATCAATCAATGGTACTGTACAATGAAATATAGAAAATAACCTGAACATACTTGACCTCCTAAAATACACAAGCTGAATATAATTGCACCTAAACGAATTCCAAACACTTTGTCAATAAGAAAGCCACCACAAAAACTCAAGATGACATTTGGCCATGAATACCATGAGTATAACTGGGCAAACTGTGAGGTAGTTATGTCCATATCATTAATAATTTGTTCTTGAAGGGCTCCTGGGTTATCAAAACAAAAATAGCTTCCTGAAAAAAACACAAAAAAATCAGAAAAATTTGACTCTATTTACTTAATAAAAAAGTGATTGTGCCTCTTCATTTTAATGAAAATTCAGTTATATTCCTAGTAGTAAAGTGTCTTATTCCCTAATACAAGTCAGTCATATAATCACTTAATCATATAAAAGATAATAGTATTAGTAATAAAAAAAAGCCACTACAATGTTTACAAATATCTGGATTCATTTAATATTTTAAGTACTTAAATCTCATGCCTTATTCTTTTTATTAATAATAATAATAGTAGTATGGCTTTCTGGTTATTTGATTTTCATTTTATGTTTTAATTTTTGTGTATTTAATATTTTGATTTTGTTGTGGATCTGCAAAAAAAAAACATCCACATTACTATAATAAAGTTGACAGTAATACTAACTTACTATTTCAAGTTCAGTTTGGTTTATTTTACTTCTCTCTCACAAGTAAGTTTAAATATTAACTTAAAGCATCTACATGAGCTGAAAGTCTTTATTTAATTTTACAATAGGCTTCGCAAACACACATATTTAAAAACACACAAAACTTGCCAAATCCAAGAAAACACATAAAAAACAGGAGAGAATATCGATGAAGACAATGTGATGGATCGCAAAGTGAAGCTGTTATTCTGGTTCTGCTTCCTTCGTTATGTTCTATTGATTCATCACTGACATCAGTAATGTTGTCATCATTAATAATATTATTTACATTATATTGACTGGCAATAACAGTATGAAATAAAGGAGCGTTATCATCCGATGAAAAATTTACAGGATCTTCTCTCATCTTTACGACTGTTATCCTCTAATACCAAAAAAATGAAAGATGTTTATATACGAACAAAATTGAAACCCAAGGTTGTCATCCGGTATAACTTTTTTCACCACGCCCATCTCACGTGTAACAGGCAGAGTCCTCTAAAAATAATAGAATGAACATTTTATTTTCCTTAAATACAGATTAAAATGTATAATATTATAATATGGTTTTATGTTCCAGATTTTTGTACTTGTATATGCAATACATAATTATTATTGTTTATTGTTTGTATGTTTTTATTGTCATATACAGGATGCCAGATCTTGCGATCAACCAGAGGCGTTGGAACCTTGGGTTCTCGTGGCCCTATTTTACATATTTGACTTATATAGCAACTGTAAATTATATTGTTACGTCTCCGTTCGCTAGTTAATTTTCCGTAACGTGGTTCCGACGAAACTTTAGCGACACAAGTGCTTTCTTAAATAAAACTGATTTATTCTTTTCGAGTACAACTTTACGATACACTTAATTTCAACAGTCGCTCTATAACAACACTATAATTCACGTCTCACGAGGCCAACAATATTTTGTCCGCATTGATTCAATTACTCATTACACTGTTGTCCCGTCACGTTGTGAGCGTCTTATATATATACCAGACTAACATATATCTAGTAAATGCTAGGGCATTCACGAATGAACAGGATATTTCTAGAAAACGTGGCGTGACATTAGTCACGTGACCTCGCTGACGCAACACTGCCCCTCCTTAGTATTGTTCGTCCCGAACAATAACCACATACAATAAACCAATAACAATTAACAACAACTTAATTAAATGTACAGAATTACAATCACAAAATTACAATTCAACAAAGTCTCTTAATTTTACGAAACGTATCTTCTTCCGTACTGGTCTCCGTCTCATTGGCTTCTGCTTCACGTGGGGTTCATCTGCTTCATCAGGAAATGTCCTATCGTCGGTAACAGTCACATCAGTGGTAGTAACTTCATCAAGAGCTTCACCGTTTCCCTGTTATTGATTAACAGAACTGATGTCCACTCCTTATGTTCACAGATACAACA